AATCTCTGCCATACGAACCCGATACTCTGCTGTGTCAGCACTTTTCTTCAACTCTTCATTTAAACCGGTAGTAATCACATGGTTTTGAACAACCTGCGCATTTAGAGTATAAAAAACAATTAAAACAAATAATTGAAGAGAAATTACATTCTCTAAATAGAAATAGTTGAAATGGTAGAATCAGAAAAACAATTCAAACGAAAATTGTCTAAACAAATTACCTGCAACAACAATTTAAAGTTCTCTGCAACGGGGTGTGGTACTCTCAAAAAAGTTTCAGACGCTCCAGCAGCAGCTTGTGTTAAACATACTTTAGCTTTCTCCACTTCGGAGAAGCCAGATAAATCCCCAAAGATCTCAGCAGCGGTGTTCTGGTTTTCCATCAAATTTTCCCGCACAACATCAGGAAGTATCACAAGTGGGGTAGACTCATACCCCATCTCATTTGACCGGAAAGTTCTGAATGAGTCTGCACCAGAAGCTGATGGCACATCTTCTTGTCGAGGCTCATCAACATGTTCATCCGCTTCCTTGAAATGTAAAGGCCTTTCTTCTTCAATTGTCATATCAGTATGCTCAATGTGTGTAATGAAGACATCAGCCTATCTTTGACTTTCTTCAGCAAAAGGGTTTGTCGTAAATTCAGAAAGATGAGGCACTCCAGAAAGAGTTTCCTGCTGAATGTTTTCAATTTGTTTTGCAGAGGTTAAAGGTTCAGAATCTCTCTCCTTAGACGTTTCTTCCGGACCATCGTTTGCCTTTGTCCTTTTCGATGACGGAGTGTCATATTCTAAAGGGAACTGGGCTGGGTTGAAAACAGCCATAGACTTTCTTTTTCTACCCATATCTTCAACTTCTTGATCTGATGAAGAGGTATCCAATGAAGGCTTTTTCGGTTGGGCTGCTACTCTTGTTTCCTTCTTCCGTAGCAGAAGATTAAGAGGCTGCAGAAATAAGTATCAGCACAATTTGAGTTATTGGAAATAAACTACAGACACATAAATAACAATACTATTTAAATTATGCAAAATCAAATAATTAATAAGAGAAAGGAAACCAACATTTCATACTCGATTCAATACTCATAGGTTGAGCAGATAATAACAATATACATTTACCATATTACATTTTAAAAAGGTCTTCAAGTTTTAAAACGATACATGCACCATGTATTTTAGAAAATTAACAACATACTCTAAAATTGCAGAACATATGCATTAAAATTCCATAAGCAAACCAAGCAAATCATAAAAGAAAAGCAACAGAAATTCTACAGTTGATTAAGTACGAATATATTTAACAGTTAACAAACAATATGTTGCAAAACACTATAAGTAATGAAATTCTTATAAATTAACAGTAATTCGTGTGGAATGCATATTGTAGCCGGAATATTTGTAAAACAGAGAGTACTAAACACAATATGCATTCCACACGAATTACTGCACGTATATATGTAATACTGGAATTTTACACCGAAACAGGAAAAATATTAAAATTACGCAAATCAACCAATTCATAACAAAAAGGCTAACCAAATTTTGTATTTATTGAACCTTTCAGAAGCATAACATTCAGTAACTAAAATGTACTTGAAACAGTATTCTAAATAATATTCTATTCAATTAACAAAGTTACATGCAACATGTGTTAAGAAGCTGGAAATTGAAATGTATACTACATACTATAGAAAATATATGCATTAACATTTCATACTTTGAAAAACATTTAAGCAAAACAAAGTAAAGATCAAACCTATACACACCAAATTATCCAACAATTCGTCCTCAGAACTGTCCTCGTCCTCAGTGTCAGGAGTAGACTCAGAAACACCGGCTTCTATAGCAGCAGCAGTGGCTAGAATTTCCTCTTCAGGACCCAAACGAAAAAATGGATCACGTTTCAAGTACCACGGCTTCTATTTGGAATATTCAGAAGAACTGACTATCTCAAGATAATTTGCGCGCAGTGCAGGAGCTCTTTCGGAAGTAGGAGTAATTGCAGGGTCTCTTCTGATCACTTTTCTTTTGACGTAGATTCCGAGACGTTCATAACTCAGCCCGCAATTCGTCTCATGCAACACTGAAATTAACAAAAAATGAAAACGGTTCAAAAAAACCAAAACAAACAACAATAATATCAACAGTGACACAAAAAAAAGAAACGAGCCTTCGGCCCCAACCGAGAATCTTACCCTCTTGATACTTTCGGCTGAGGCCGACGGCAGCTAATATCCTCTCTTGGAAAATATAGTGATAACAAGGTAGCCAAGTGGCTGGAGTATGTTTCTCTCGTCCCCCTCTTCCCGAAGCCACCTTTCCGAAGAGCTTCAGCAGTTGATTATCTTCGGCAAAAAATTCATCAGGACCGATAGCAGACATTTTCGGGTCAGGCATCCTTAGGTATCTCAGTGCTCCAAAGTAGTTTAAATGTTCCTCTTTGGATGGAGCCTTGATCCAAATCCATTGACCCCTCCAATCTTTATCCGAAGTATCGTGAGGCCAAGTGGTCAAATAATCCCGTTTTGCTTCAATACGCCACCATCCAAGACCATTTGGTTCGGAAGACTGTTTATTCAGTACCAAAGTATGCAATTGCCGGAAAACGTTAACACTGGGGTCAAACCCTAAAAAAAGGGAAACCCATAAGACCGTTATAACTCTTCGAATGCTAGCCGGAGTCAACTGGCACAACGCAATGTTATACCCATTCAACACTTTAGTTACAAAGGGATGAAGAGGAAACCTCAGCCCTGATTGTAACTGCCTAGTATATACTCCAATATACCCAGGCGGCGGTCTGTGGATTCTATCCTCTATAACTGGCATTCGACACCAGTATCCGTCCTGTTCATAAATACCATAAAAAATTTCAATTTGCTCAGCGAAACGATATTGGGCATTCTATGTAACCCACCATCTCTACGGAGCAGCAGTTCTAAGGCCCGAATTTTCAGTCGGATTGTACCATTCTTCGGCACCTTCTGGCAGACAGCGAGGCCCATGAATAGCATCGCTGGCAGACAAAGTAGGCTCTTCCCACTCCCTGAATGTCACAGATGAAAATGGTCTAGCAGAAGCTAATGGTACAGCCGATATCGGAACATTGGTCGTAGGTTCCCTTTCCTCCATATCAGAAAGAGTAGTAGCGTGACTAAGAGGTGGCATCTGTCCAAGCGGCTGTCTACGCCGAGGACCTGACGACACAACTTGTGGCCTGTCAGCTTCTTCTCCTTCACCAACAACAGGCGCTTTACCCAAATTCCGACGTCTAACCATAATAATGAAGAACAATCGTACGACAATGGAAATTAAAAAAATGAAATAAATCCGAATGAAATCAGAAATAATTACATGTCCCTAAGTTGGAAATCGGCGGGCTTGTACATCGACATGCCAAATTTTGAAGTACAAATGAGATTAATAGATATTTGGGATGGAAATTAACTGTTGCAAAAGATATTCGGTATTTCTAGGGTTCGGTTTGCAGAAAATTGATTAGTGAATGACGGAGAGAGTATATAACTACAGACTTTTAAATTTTAAATTTAAATTTAGAGAAGTTTAATAGTTAACTGTATCGTCACATTTCCCATTAAACTATTATTAAACTAAATTCTTTAAAATCTAACTACCGATAAAATGTCGCAACTTTTTAATTACACTCACTAATGGTAGTTATAATAACCGTTTAAATTATCCAAACTTCACCAATCTCAAAATGCAATCATTTATAATACAATACTTGTTAATTACACAAATAATATTTTGATTAATAAACAATTTTTAAAAATAATACATACAAATTAAAATATCTATCAGAGTACAAATATCTTTCCCCAGATCCATTTATGTTCAATTTGTTAAATTTTAAAATAATAACATATAATATCTACACTATAGATTCTACTAAACAAATACAAAATTGCTATTAGTATATATAGCCTTCAAAATGAAAACAGTAATAAACTTTTGTAATAAGATACAACTTTATTAAAAGGTTTAATTTAGTATTTTTCACAATGTATATAAACTCTTGTTTTAATTTTGACGACATTTACGTTAAAAAATATAACAACAATTGTAATAATATCATTATATAACAAGAACCATGTTCATCACCGAATGACGGTGAGAATTTGTAACAAAAGGCTTTTAAATCTGAAAGTTTAATAATTAACATAACCATCAAAATTCCCAACTAAACTATTAGTAAACACATTCATCAAAATTCAACTATCGACAAAACATCCCAACCTATTTATTACACTCTCTATTTTCGGTTATAATCATTTACAATATCTACATTTCACCAATTTAAACTTGCAATCATCTGTAATATCTATTAATTACACAAATAATATTTTGATCACTAACTAATCAAAAAAAATAATAAATAAGAAGTTAAATATATACAGAGGATAAATATATTTTTACAAATTCATTTGTGATAAATTTACATAATTCCCAAATCACAATATATAATATCTACAATATTAATTCTGCTAAATCAATACGAATGATCTTAACATAACGAATGCTTTAAATGGAACATAACTTGTTAACCATTCTGAAAAGAAATACAACTTTATAGCAATATTTGTAATTATATTGTTTTTTATAACGCATAAACGCTTGTTATAATTACTATAGTGTTTTTAAAAAAAAAAAAACCGATCACAATAATTGTAATAATTTTATTATACAGCAACAAACATGTTTGATGTTAAACAACTTTTTGGATACTTCAAAATATCAAAGGACACTACATTTCTAACCGAGTTGATGTGATACCCATCAGGCGGTTTCATTGTATAAACAACAACATTCTTAGCCTTTGTTGCCCGAGATAAAGCCACATATAGTTGACCATGTGAAAAACACGGCCGAGGAAGATAGACTGAAACTTGATTCAGTGTTTGTCCTTGTGAATTATTAATCGTCATAGCAAAACATAATTTAATTGGAAACTATTTCCTTTCAAAAGTGAATGGATATCTACTATTTGTTGGAGGGCGTAAAGTTGCTCGATGCAAAAAAAACAGTTTTTCCTTTATATTGACCAATAGAAATTTCACAGACAATAACGTTGGGCTGAAAAATCTTGCAAATCAATCTTGTCCCATTACAGAGACCATCCGAAGGCATTATATTACGTAAAAAAATCACAGGACAATCCTTTTTAAGAACAAGCTCATGGGGACTCATTCCTCCTGGACAAAGCTTATTTACAAACTCTGATGGATAGATATTGCAAGTATCATTGAGCATTGCATCAAAACTCTTATAAATCACTTTATTTCCTGGGAACTGCTCAATCAAAACTGAATTTACCATATCCACATCATCATTCATCGGAGTTAAAATTGCTCTATCTGCAAAGATATCTGATGTAATCGTTCCTTTCTCAACTTCTAGGAAAGTAGCTTTTATAATCTCCAAAATGGGGTCCTTTTCAATCTCTAAATGATGTATCATTCCATCAAGAAGTTCTACATATCCACACTCATTTGTTTGTAATTCACCATTACCAAGAGACAACAAAAACGCACAAAATGTTGGATCTTCACGAGCTCGCTGATTTTCCGTTAACTTGAATCTTTTCAAAGATGGCCAGATATATGAAGCAACAATGCTCGATTCAACAGCCTGAATTAAGGACTTTTGGGGTACAACTGGTAAAACCTGCCTAAAATCTCCACCGAAAATGATAAGCTTACCACCAAAAAGTGTTGTAATTTCACATATATCTTGCAACAGCAAATCAAGTGCCTGTAAATTCACCTTATTCGCCATAGAAGCCTCATCCCAGATAATCAAAGTTGTCTCTTTTAATAATTGTGCTAAACTACCTTGTTTTGGCACATCACACGTAAAACAACTCTCATGATCAACAGGTATTTTAAATCTTGAATGAGTTGTTCTTCCTGAAGGTAGATTTGATGCGGCTATTCCAGATGACGTAGTGGGCAGCACAATTTTATTCATCATTCGAATTTCTGCATATAAACAATTGTATAAAAATGTCTTACCCGTGCCACCTGGTCCATCAATAAAAAAAGCACCTCCTTTTCCCTCATTGACGTGATTCATTATGACATCAAATGCTTTCAATTGAGCTGCATTCAACCTTGCTCTTGAGTTTATATATTCTTTAGGAATAGGTGTATTTAAAGCATCTGCTATATCTCTCGTTTTCCTAAACTCGTCACTGACATTATAGCTCAGATGATCCAACCCAAATGTTTTCAGTGATTTACCCATTGATTCAAGATGTTGCTCTAATAAACTAACAGTTAGTTGTTTCACTTTTCCGGGACAATCTTTAAATTGGTACCTGTAATCTTCCGACAATGATGTATAATATTTTTCCCATAAAGAAGCTGGATCACTCGGCTGGCAAAATATCAGTATTGTTGCAAACAGTCGTCTCAAAGCACACGGTAACTGTATCTCTGCAGCTTTAGTTAGGCAAATGGATGCAGCATCATCATCTTCCAAAAGACCAAGCCGTTTAGCAGTCTCTTGGAATGTAGCACAAACATAATTGTCAACCGTACGTAAGTCTGTAAACGAAGTTGAGTTTCGTACATTAAGCAATAATAGTCGAAGATAATAACGTTCACCTTCGGCAGGCAAGACAAATGATATCCTACCAACAACAGTGAGTGCGTTTTTTCGGTCTTTCCATTCTTTCACACTTGAATTCCATGTGTAGTGTTCTGGAAAATCATTGTATAAAAGGTTAACGCCACCATCAATTGTCGCATTCATTGCAAAGTATTCCGTCAAAGGTGTACGTGCGCGCTTAGGATCTCTAACAACCCGTCTAAGATTTTCAAATGGTCTTACAGCAATGGATTGCATGTTTGGAAGATGCACTGGTATTGGCATAACAGGAGGAAAAATTTCATATAAATCAAAACCAAATATTCGCCATATTCCTTCACACGGAGATACCCACCTACAATTTCAAACCACACAATTCACATGTAATATTTGTAATTATAATATAAAGAAATTTAAACTACGTATGAAAATAAAGCACTCAATACCAACCTGCCAGATTGAAATTGTTCTATTTCATCAATTTTTTCATCATTTGTAGCAGATATCTTGAATGATATTCGGTCATGCCCTTTATAAACATATTTGTATAAATATTTTACTGCTTTGATAGTTGAACAGACCTCAACATTTATATGACAATCAAACATAAGTAATAAATATGGATTATAAGGTACTACCCACTGATTATCTAACTCAGCCCTTCGAACCTTTTTACTTTTTCACCCGTTTGTCTTCTCCTATATATAGGATATCCATCTTTGTTGTTTGCTGTTTCTGAATTGTAATCTTTTGGATATCCATTTTTGCATACCATTTTTTTCCCATCCATTTTAATACAAGGACACTTAGGATTCAACTTCCCGCAAGGCCCATGCATCATATGAGTCAAGACAACTTTACGAAGACGAGGATTATCAAATGATGGGATTTCAGCACAAACAAACTTATCATACTCTGATGGCCCTCTTATCTTGAAATCACGTTTCAGTATTATTAAAAAATGTGCATGTGGTAATCCCTTTTTTTTTAAAACTCAACAACATAAATCATTGCTGCCACTTCACCAAAAATTCTTTCCTTTTTAATTTGTTTTTTTAACGCCAATAATTTTGCACGAAATATACGGGCCACTATATCTGGCCAATCCTGAGCTTTCTCTCCAGGTTGTAAATCACACTTTATTTCGGGCCAATTTGCATTACATGTCATAGTAATAAACAAATCCGGTTTCCCATATCTTTGAACTAATGCCATTGCATTTAGATACTGGCGTTTTAGATCTCTAGGACACCCAATGAATGATGGAGGTAAAACAACAAGATGTCCAATCTTCAAAGCATCTGTCTCTCCACCTGTCACACTATCAAGAATACCCTGATAAAGATCAGATCTAATGATATCTTGATTGTTCCGCAAATAATCGAACCTTGAATTCTTGATCTTCACATACATGTCCACAACAAATTGTTGAAAACATCTTCCACTTCTAAAGAGCATATTTGTAGGCCTCATTTGTAATATGTAGGCATAGTATTCTCTTGGAGATATATACTTATCAGCTCTTGTCCTGTGTTTAACGGTCCCTATATTATGCCAAAAATAAATAAAAAAAACACATTAAATTGCCCAGCACAATAAATAGTTTACAATGAATACGAACTAATATGCATAAATAACAAACACTTACGTGATTCTTGTTCATCTAAGAAATTTTGCACGGTATGAACTGCACAGGAATTAATAGGATCTGGAACCTGTTTTGTATGGTTTTTCCCACCAACATTTCGCTTCTTAAGATTCTGAGTCCATCCACATTCACCAAAAGGGAATAATAACGGGTATTGTAATGGATCATAGCACCCATTATAATGACAAATCCGATGAGTTTGGGCAGACTTTCCATGCACAATAATATGTGGAGTGCTAATTTGACTTGAAGACGCACCATATGGCCATACTACAACAACTTCATCAGAAACAGGTGCATTATAAACACGTTGATCTAAAACAGTATTTTGAGATAATACTATCTGCGTGTTTTCATCTATCTCTATTTCCCTCAACGATCTGAAAAATCTTGCATATGGATTCATTTCAATAATCTTCATTAATACACGAATAATATCCTCCCGTACTTCAGGAAAACAATTTACTCAATTCTGAACTTCGTGCTGGCCATCATAAAAATAAGGCTGCAAAAATTTAGGACTACCATCATCAGGCAGAAGATCTGGAACACAATGATATACTTGCCCATGCATTTTAAATACATATATCCCCTTATATGTTGTCGACTCCGTTTTTCCGCGTATAGAACTATAAGCAAAGAGATTGTTATACATTCGGCTGTATTGCCTGAAATGTTTAGCATCTTCCTCTTCTGATAAATATAATCGACATAACTCATCAAGAAATTGATTAGCTGCAATCACAACCTGTCCACCATAACAACAGAAACTCGGAGTTTCATACATGAATTTCTTTGCATTACAATACAAACAAGACGGAGCACTCTCAAGCACAAGAGGGCCAACTGGAAGATTTTCACCTATCGTTGCAAGCGGTCTCACTGCCGAAACGTTCAAAATACGTTTTTAGAAAAAAAAAAAACCAAATTAATTAAGATTCATTCCAAATATCACATATAACAGTTAATTCTTATACTATAAAGCTAACCGAAACAGTACCTTCTGAACTGGGTTTTTTGGCAGATGAAGATTGTGCAAAAAACAGAGATCTTTTGCTCTTACGTTGTTCACGTTTTTTCCGTTTTTTGGCAGATAAAGACCAATTAATATCACGTTTTTTCCGTTTTTTGGATTCATATCTACAAAAAAACCATAATATATATTAATTTCAAATAATATACAACATAAAGCAGTAGAACATCAAAAACTTACAGTGCCTCACAAACTTCTACTGGTACAGTATGCCATGTCGCATCGAAATACGACAATGCCGAAAAAATTTCTGCTCGTAATAGGAAAAACAAAACAAAAAAACGTGATATAAATTCCATACATCATAGATCATATGAACACGTTTATAATATTAAGTTATCCGAAATAATGCTATCACACTATGTTAAACAATATAACCTGCAGTACACGGTTTCCAACTACTTCTGGATTTTTTTCTATAAAAGAATAAAAACATCAATAAATATAAATAAATACTATAATCATAGTCTGGAACAGAGTGAATCCAGAATTTCGGCGACAAACATGAAGACTTACACTTCTTCACAATCTTGAATAGGCACTTCAAAATAATTATCGAACGGGTGTCCATGTGCTGACCGCAATATTTCACCATATTTATCCACATGATGAACATTTATTGGATTATCATCCATAACCAACACAACGTTTTCCTCAGTAGGCGTAACCAATACATCAACACCCGCTTGACCTTTTTTTGTGACGATGTCTGGCGGAACTTGAGGAGCATTACATATAGTTTCTTCCCCATCCTTACGACCATCAAAAGGAACTGGGGTTCGCCCACCCCAGCCTCCAACCGGTCGACTGCCTGGCCGAAAATATGTCGGCAACGGCATCAACGTTTCTGACAGAAGTTCACCTAAATCGATAATAGGCCTGACCTTTCTTTTTTTGGATCCTTTTTGTTCCACAGTTTGCATAGGCAATGATATGGCCGAATGAGTTTCCAGAATATTTTCAATCATATTTTCGGCACCTGTAGCAAGTTTCGGCTGTTCTTCCATAACTACCGCAACATTATCCTCAGAACATGCGACCAACACATCAACTTCCATTTGGCCTTTAGCGGTAACATTGTCTCCTGAAATTTGAACAACGTTATATTTAGTTCCTTCCCCTTGCTCATGAACATTGAGCGGATCTGAAATGCCCCCACTGCCGAAACCACTCGTTCTCACAACTCGTTGTTTTTTTTTTCGGCTGAATGGATAACTCCTCGGATGAAAGTTGACCTAAGTCGACAATAGGCCTACCCCTTTTTTTAGATCCCCTATGTCCCATAATTCGCACAGGAAAATTTTGCCGAATGAGTTTGAATAAACTCTTCATTTAAATTTTCGGCATTTGTAACAATTCTTGGTTGCTCTTCAATAACTAACGCAACATTATCCTCACCAGGTGTGCTAGAAACACCAACATTCGGTTGATCTTTTCCATCCGTACTCTGTTCCCGCCTTAATCCCTTAAGCATAGATAAGTTCTTCAAAGGAAATTCACCCAAGTCAACATTTATCCCTGTCGCCGAAATGCAAGGTGTTACATTTCGGCTTTGATCTGTCGGCGATCGAGCCGACTCACTTTTAGGAAATTGCCCTGGATTAACAACAGCTCTAGGTTTTATTTTTCTTACCATATGTACAACATTTCGCCCAAAAAAAAATGATCAGATTATAAATTTACGCGTATTTCCTGTATTCGTGCTTCAGCATAATCGCACCAACAGGTAAAGAAGAATGGTAAAGAATGTATAAACATGATATCAGATAAAACTCCGACTATCTATACAGGTTAAAAAACATGTAATTAAACAGGCAAACCCATAATTAGTAACAAAAAAATGTACAATAAATAACTTAATCCGTAAATATAAGTAACAATTTGTAGATGTACAAAAACCACTACAAAAACATAGTTTCAAAACACCGACATCAACTACCTATCCAAATCAAACATCTACAATTGCCCTGGATTAACAACAGCTCTAGATTTTATTTTTCTTACCATCTGTACAACGTTTCGCCCGAAAAAAAAATTGATCAGATTCTAAATTGTTAGGATTGTGTTATGATTTGATGCTTTGACATTTTTAATTGAAAACAAAACAATTGTGTTATCAGAACTAAGCAAAAGAATTGAGAACAAAACACAACACACATAACCTAAATTTTTAATTGCATGCAACAGAACAAAAGCATCGAGACCTACAATTCCACATAACCGAAGAAAAACCCAAAACAAAAATAAAAGGCTAAAACACAAATATAAATGAACATAACATAATACAGCAAACTAATTTTTATAAATAAACAAAATTGACAAATTTTACCACAACATCGGGAAAAAAAAACATAATGAAAACACACAATTTAAAAACAGAACATACAAATAAAGTCATCACCAGATCCAATTCAGAACTTGAAACAAAAACACAACACACAGAACCTAAATTTGTAATTGCATGCTACAAAACAAAAGCATCGAGACCTATAATTCCACATAACCGGAAAAGAACCAAAAAAAAAAAATAAAAGGCCAAAACACAAATATAAATTAACACAACACAATACACCAAACTAATTTGTATTCGATTTAAATCACAACACAGACCAAAAAAAAAAAATAGTATTTACCAAACAAAGTAAACAAAGGTAACTCCAATCACGACAGAAAAGAAAAACCAAAACACGAAACTGGAATACAGAGAAAAAGGAAATAGAAAGAACATAAAAAAAAAGGAAATAAACCCCAATGACAAACAAACAAAAACAATGCAAACGCAAAGGCCGTGAACAATACAAATAGACAAACAAATTTAGTCCAGCTGAATGCAAAAAAAAAAATCACCGAAACCTCCAATCCCACAAAATTCGAACAAACACTAAGCAAATACACAACAATGAAATCCAAATTGCAATAAACAAAAATAAATCACAACACAAACCTGCATATAACTCCAATGGCGAACGGAATAGAAGAACGAAAGCACAAATTTGGAAAAGAAAATTAAAATAAAAAACCACTTATATATAGAAAGAGAAGCCACTTATATATAGAAAGAGGGAATAGAAGAACGAAAAAACAAAATTGGAAGAGAGAGAAACAGAAAATGGAAATAACCTAAGGAAAACCAAAAAAAAGCCGCCTATATATAGAAAGAAAATGTTTCGGCGAAAGGCCGAATGTAACAGACAAGGACAAATCCGAGAAGCAAATGTTGTACTGTTCAAAATTGGTACTGTTCAAAATTGGAAATTGATTTGCCTTACTGTTCATAATGAGAGGAGCGGTGAACTTCTCTCTTTTTAAGAGTTGTAGATAATCCTTTTGAATTTTATTTTTTTTGTAGTAATAAGCAATTAAGTGTGGTTTAAAGTCCAATTAAAAAAATTAGTATGTTTGGTTATATACAGCTATATATATTGTCTATCACTTTTGGATATATTTAGTCATTCATCATAATAATTAAAGAAGAGAAGAAAAAAAAGAAACTGATATGTTTTGAACCATTGTAGAAGCTAATATGTTTAAACTTTAGTGAGATGCAAACCAAATAGAATCCAAACTTGTTAAAACATTAGGAAGATACTACCTCCGTTGTGTTTTAATTAAGTTGACTCTTTTCTTTTATCACGCTTGTTAACGCACTATTTTAACAATTAATATATCTCTAAATATCGACATTGTAATATTATACAAAGTGGATATTAAAAAAATATGCATATTGAGACAATTCAAATATATAATATTCCATATGATTGTGTTTTATACAAAATATAATGGACATAAATCATAAAAGCTAGTTAAAATATAGTTTGTGAATAGTACAAAAGTAAAAATGATGTCAACTAAAAAAAACAAAAAAAAAACAGAGAAAGTATATATATATAAATTAAACGAGTATACTAAAGTAGAAAATTAGAAAATTTATTGGATAGCAAGGTACTTATTTAATTACATAATTAAGGGCATGTTCTTATCCTCTTATAAACATATAATATTGATTCCACCGCAAAGGCGAGAATCATTAATATCTTGAAGGTGTTATGAAGAATAGTACATCAATAATTTGGTAATGAAGTTTACAAAATATAGCATATTATAGTACGTGAGGCATCACAAATTATACTTACCGTACGTCTCATAGACACATTTCACTTGAATGAAAACATAATACATCCTCCATCCTCAACATTGACAAAATTTACAATGTTCACGTACATGAACATAACTCTTTTGGCCGTCGTTTGTGATTTATATGTTAGAAAATATAAAATTATGTGGGATCTTTTTAGATTTGTCTTGATTTATACTTCAAAGTATCAACCTTTCTCTTTTTTTTTTCCCTTTCCTGCTAAAATAAATATAAAGATATTAATGACATATATAAATAGTGAACTGATAAGTATAAAACTCCAACGTTGTAGTTAAAAAAGAACGAAGGAAGTATTTTATTTTCATTTCACTCAGCTTTCTAGTTGCTGCTCACATAAAAAACCTTGTTTTACAAGGAAAAAATCACATTAATAATTCCAACTTTAAGCGATTTACCTACTTGGAATATGATTATATTCTAATAATCCCACCTTTAATTTAATTTGCTACAGTTTGCCTCTAGCACCCCAAATGACCAATTACCTAATGAATGGGTATTTTTTTTATTATTATATTAATGCCACGTGTTGCAATTTAAAAAAAAAATTCAAAAATAGAAATTCAAAAAAAAAAAAAAACAGAAAAAAAAACTAACCTACCTTTCCCTACCACCACTCCCTCCCCTTGCCCCACCGTTAAACCCCAATACCCAACCCCTCTGCCCCTTTTCCCACCGTGTAAACCCCCAGCCTCCACCCCTCCCTTTCCCTACCAGTACACCCACAACCCCACCCTAAACCAACTCCCCCCCCCCCAACCCCGAACCCTGACACCACCCCCTCCACGAAATCGTTCGGAACTATTATACTTCCCTTGTGTTTTAATAAGTGTTACACTTACCAAATTCGGCCATATTTTAATAAGTGTTACACTTCCTTTTTTGGCAAAATGTTATATTTTAATATTATATCTTTTTCTCTTATGGTCCCCACACAAACCCACTACTATTATTTTTTTTATTTATTATTTCTTTTCTCTCACATTCATTACACAATAAAATATTAACCACATTATCTTTTTTTTTTAACAATTTTTTAATATTTCAACTACTCCACTTACCTCTTATTTTATTTAATTCAATTAAATTGCCTAAATCTATGTGTCGCTCAAAGTGTAACACTTATTAAAACATGGAGGGAGTACAAATGATATGGTCAATCATATTTGTGGTAGGGTAAGTTGTTTCGGTCGATTTCGTGGATGAGGATTGTTAAGGGGGGAGTGTTGTCGGGGTTTGGCGAGGGGAAATTTTGGCCAGTTTCATGCGGGTGATTTAATTTAGGGGGTGGTGGTGGGTTTGCTCGGTCGTTTCAGGGGTAGAAGGGCCAAATGGCCATTTTCGGTGGTTAGGGGGGCGGTGGCCGATCGATATTCGATTGGGCTAGTGGTGGCCTAGGGTTGAACGATGGAGGAAGGGGAGGGGTGGTGGCTAGTAAAGGTTTTTTTTTTTTTTAGACTAATAACGTGTTGACACGTGTCATGGCACCTATTATAGCAGGTCGTTGATCGATTGAGCTTGCTAAAGGCAAACTAAAAAAGTGGGATTATTAGAAAAATGCCAAAGTTGGGGTTATTTCAGAATAAATCGCCCAAATTTAGAATTTTAAGAGTGAATTTTTCCTTTTTAGGCCTCACCTCTACAACAAACCAGAGTACCACACTACTTTTTTTTTTTTCATTTTTTTTATTTCACTCAGCTTCCTATCAGGCCTCACCCATTTCTTAAGTTTGTTTTTCTACCTTTTTTTTTATTTTTTTTTTATTTTTTTTTACTTTGATGAAAAGTTTCGTTTTTCTACTTTGTTGTCCTTAACTTTCCCTTCTCCTTCAACATTGTCAAGCTGAACACCTGATTGCCTACAATAAACTAAATTTCACAGCTTGCTACAATTGTCCTTAACTTTTATAAGTAAGCTAGGTATTAACATATGGATATCACAACAAAATTAGGGTCAGTTGTTGGACTAGTTAGAGAACAAATGGAACTATTTTCTACTCCAAAAGTCCTATTTTTTTTTTTTGTCCCCTTTCAAAGATTTATAGTTTTTCTATTAATTACTGAGCTGATTTTCCCCTTGCTTTACTGTGCATAAGCTAAACTGCTCAAGTAATATAAGTATGTGGTTCAACAACTTGTGTCTGTATTATGACTATTGTACTACATAGTTCTTAAATAACCTCCCACAACATTCTTAGGTGCCCAAAATCTCATAAAAATTCTTTAAAAAAACAAAAATTGTCACTCAATTAGAAGACATTATATTGGTTTTCATTTCACTAAGAATGTCTCAAATAATACTCTTACTTCTTTGTCCTGTCAAAAAATAAAATAAAATTCTTTGCTTTCAAAAACTGCACCACTTTAAATAGCAATGAGTAACTTTTACAATACATATTATTAATTTTTTAGTTTAGTAAAAAAAAGGACAGTATACAAAAATTTGATACATGACTTATGAATATACATGCAAATTAAACCAATTCAATCAACAACATTTTATATTGATATACTATGTACACCGTATGCTTTTGATAAATTAGAAGAAATGTCTTTATCAAGTAAATTTACAGAGTATATAAATCAATAATACACTGAAAACAAATGATGTTATATATATATATGTGTGTGTATCATGTAATAAGTACTCATGATAAGTGCTAAACACCACAAGAATTCAATACCTACAAGAATTTTATTGAATTTATTTGTTGCTTCAATTCACTCAACATTCTGGCTACTACTGCCTTCGCAACACGGAAAAGCTTTACCCTGAAAGTCATAGATTCATCAAATAAGTTATGCATAATTTACAACTAGCAATTATATATAATCCTATAAAGTTATTAAAGGATGTCAAAAACATATTTATCTTCGACAAGAGAGCTCACCAATTCAAGCAGATACATTGGGTCTCTCTGATTTTGCTTTTTCTTTGCTGAAGAGATCGATAGCACTTTGTACAAGAGGGTTCTGTTCGCCGAAACTCCAATAAGAGAGCACATTATGATGATTATGATGACTGCCCAAAGAACCTTTGGGTATATAACCACATAGACCCCAGTCATAAATGCTAATATAGTGGAGTAAAACGCTACCATGAGTAACACCATGCTACGATCAATCAATAACAACGAATTACTCGAATCTTGGACCATAGACCATACAAGGCAAATCAAAACCAACATGGAAGTACACATAGCCAATGTATTAGACATCAAAAATACCAAAAATGCAACCTTTTTGGCTAAAAGTGCTTCCCCGCTTTCTTGATTTAATCCGCCAGGAAGAGTAAAACCAGCAGTAAATGTAATAGTGGCTAATAGAGCCGCCACCACAAATAGTGAATTTCGCACTTCTAACAAACTGGTCCTACGCTGGAAGTATGATGTTTTTATCCATGGATTAAACCCGATTCTTTGGCACATTTCTTCCTGCACATGGTTTGCAATAAAATAGATAACTACATGTACACAAATTTTGTGATTTACTTAAAGTAACTTTGGGGTATTATTTGTGAAATATTAAAAATTCTAAAGTTGCAACTAATATGTAAGGGAGGAAGTAGAAAAATTGAAAAGCATACCCATTCACTATCGTTTGTGCAAGCTTGCTCCAACAAATCAATGGGAGTGTTTTGATCTTCATCCTTGATGTTATAAGCTATTTTTTCCATGTCGAGTAATGTTTCTGTCAAAGGTAATATTCGATTTTGTATTGCTAAGTGTAAAGGTGTCTTCCCTTGAGAATTTTGAACATTGATTAGATCTTTCATGCGTGAAATCGTAAGAAGCTCTTCGTATTCTATTAAACTTGACAGTTTCATATGATGTAAAGGAGTATTCTTATGCTTAATACAAAGATCTCGAAAACCAGCTTGATTATGGTCAATAAAGGCACGAAGAGCCGAGACATGACCGTGCTCACATGCTTTAATCCAAGCCAAGGGTGCTCTATTGAATACAGACGGGTCCTTTTTCAGTACAACTTTTATAAACCATGCAGTATCAGTTTCATATGCTGTATCACCTTATCAGTACAACTTTTATAAACCATGCAGTATCAGTTTCATATGCTGTATCCCAAGGTGATTGTTTATTGTTATCCTGTTCGGTTATGAACTCTGGTGCTTCATTAACTAGCCATGTCCCAAATTCTTCATCTAATTTCATAGTTTATAAAAAAGTTAATGTAAGAATCATGTATTCGCCCTAACTTCATAAAAATCTCATTTCCTTTTACTTGTCTTTTCTTAACTATAGTTGTCAATTTCCAATTGCATTCGATCCAAAAAATAAAAATTAAAAGTTAAGCTTATGAAAAGAGCACAATAATTTGAGAATGGTTTTCACCAAAAAAAAAATAAAAATAAATAAATAAATAAATAATAATAATTTCAGAATGAAGAGAGTATATGCTTTAAGCCTATAAAAATATACTCCTTTATTCTTTAATTATCATTATCTTTCCATTCACTAGTCTGTTTATGTAAAATGAAATAGTAAGTGCGTCCTTTTTTTAAAAAAAAAAAAAAATAGGTAGGAGTGAAAAGTTTGTTTATAAAATTTATGTGGGTCATATGGTGGGTAAAGAGTAATAAAAGTGGATATTTTCTTTACCATAAAAAGAATAAAGCAAAATAAGAAGATAAAAAATGAAAAGTAGTAAGTTAAAAAACTAAAAAAAAATAATAAAAGAATGGTGGGAGTTTTAAAATTCATTTTCATATATATACTACATTCGTTTTATATTAACTTTGGATATTATTTGTGAGATATAAAATATTTTAAAGTTCAAATAATAAGAAACGGAGGTATAATTGTTATTAAGAAAAATTGCATTGCCTGGAATAATCCGATCATTGTCTCATCCGCCCAAAATAATCCCACCTTTCAATTATTTTTTTAATAATCCGAAGTTTGATGTCAATACGCTTAAAATGGTCCCAAGTGACCGGTAACCTATTAAATAGGTAATTTTTTGTTGGGTTTTAAAATACACATGTCACAACGTGATTTATCTAAAATGTAAAATTAAAAATAATAAATTTAACAAAAAAAAAAAAAAATCATTCAGACCCAGCCACCCTAAAAATCTTTCTTTCTCTCTTCCACCACCTCCAATGGCGGCGATATCTACCATCTCTGAACCCACCTCCGCTGTTGTCGCTCTCATCGACGAGCTCAATAAGCGTCGCGTTCCTCTTATCATCGTCGTCAAAGAAGAATACTTTGGGACGGGAAAAGGAGAGGGGCTGGAATCGCGACGTGAAAGAGGGGGAGGGCCGGAATTGGGACGGGGAAGGGGTTGGTGCGGCGGGGTTGGTGGTTTATCGGTTAATTAATTTATTTTTTTTAAGAAATTAATTGATAATTTTTAAAATTTTCTTAAAAGATAATTTTAACTTTTTTTCTAAATTATATTTGGACCAATTAGGTATTGATACGTGTTAGATAACTTGTCATAAAAAGTTAGTTGATCGGTTGGGACCATTTGAAGCGAATTGACATTAAAGGAGGTGGGATTATTTTGGGCGGATGAGGTAAAGGTCGAATTATTCCAGGCAATTTTTCCCTATTATTATTATTATTATTATTATTATTATTATTATTATTATTATTATTATTATTATTATTATCCCTTCTTTTCACCAGGTGAAATTAGAAATACCAGTTAATCCCTGCATGTCTTCGTCAAGTGTGAGGCAAAGTAGCAATTGATAGTCAAACAATGTAATAACATAGAGTGCAACTAGGCGCATAGCTGCTATTTATTTGGGATGCATATATGAGGGCTAACTGATAAATTCACATAGTTTCTTTTATTTTTACTGTGGTATTTTTTGATGTACCATTATACATGTATTTTATACTTCTATAGTATAGGTTATTTTAGTAGTACTATTTATAGTCATTATAAGTAATAGTGGTATAATATTTGATGACAATTTATATACTTATTTGTACCACTAGAAAAACATTTTTCATCACTCTTTTGTCTTATTCATGCTATTTACTTGCCATGTAAATAGTAGCTATGCGCCAATACTTAACCAATAACATATACTCCGTACCTTTTATCTCGTAAATTATGTGTAATAATAAATGCTAAATATTATTCTATGAAGGAACGAAAAACTAATACCTGTTAAGCTTATAGCAAGATGCAATATATTCCGACCAGTTGAGGAATTTTTTAGATATTCGGTCCTGCTTCTCTTATCCAAATTTCCCAATATGGCTTTGGCTACTTTAGAGCAATTGTTTTGTATAGCAAGAAACAAAGTAGAGTGCTTTGGCTCGTAATAATCAAGCAGTTCCTTTATAGATTGATTAACCCTGAGTAGTGCCAATATGTAAAGTGCAAGATCTTCACGTTTGTTGCGTAATGCCAAGTGTAGAGCTCCTTCCTTTTCTTTATTCTTTTCAAACCATGGCAATTGATGGAAAGCATTTACGCTCCAAATAAGTTTGTCTTTTTTGTAAGCTTCAACAAGGAGTGGTACAATCTGGTTTGTTGCTTCATGAGTGGTAGTTGCAGCAACATGAAAGGGATTGTTTTGATAATTGTAATCCTTAACATCAACAAGTTTTACAAACTGATCTTTCCACTTGCTCTCCAATATGAATTTAAATAGCCATTCTTTGTCACTTTTTATCCAACTATGAACTATTGTAGATCCTTCTTTATCTACTCCTTTGATTAATTCTGGATGTCTTTCCATTAGTTGTGCACTAAAGTCTTCTGCTTGTAAAGAAGAATTGCTATTTAATATTTTTTCTACAATCATTCATAATTAAACAATATACATATAAAAAAAAGCCTAATTTTATTTTGTAATTTACTTCCTTTGTAGTTTTTAAGTTAACTCATTTGTCAATGCATAAATTCAACTGTAGTATCTTTAAAGAATTATTATTAAAAGTTACTTGTATAAAAGTTGATTTTTGAAATTACAAATCAAAAACAAAATTAAAATGATCAGACATGATTATGTTCGTTTTTTAGCTAAATTATGTTACATATATAATGTGAAAAGTCGAAATGTATCAATTGTTAAAATTGACACTCTTTTTTTTGGAAGTAGTATTTATAATATCACCTTTAATAAATCTAAACTATGAATAGTTAAAGTTATTAGTAATTGCAAAGTTGTGCATAATGAATTATGTGTAAAGTCAATCGACATGGTACAATTAAATAAATAATTGGCAACTTTTTATTTATTTTTTTTGGGAAACATTTTGCTTGAGATCAGACTCACCGTGAATCCAATATATCTGATATTAATAATCTAATATCCGACATTAATAATCTAATATCTAACATGAGAAATCTAATACCTGACATTAATAATCTAATAATCTAATCTATGTCATTAATAATCTAATATCTAACATTAGAAATCTAATATCTGACATTAATAATCTAATATGTAACTATAGTAATCTAACATTAGTAATCTAGTACGGAGTATTTGAATTCTGACAATAGTAATCTAATATATGACATGAGTATATTAGATTACTAATGTCAGATATGAAATTATTAATGTAAGATATTAGATTATTAATGCCAGATATATTGAACTCATCGTGAGTCCGACTCACCCAACTTTTTTCGTTTATTTTATATTCTCGTATAATTAGTTAATTAAAAAACTTCGTTCTTTCGCTTTTTATGAGATGAAACATTTTACTCCGTTTTTGCTACTTTATCCAAGCAAGAGTTCAAGACTCAAGAGAGCTTGTTTGGTTAATCTTTAAAATTAAGGGAAACAGATCAAATTTATGGGAATGTGCAAATGGGGGTGTTTGTTTGATAACAACATAGTAGTAAAGTATCTGTAAAAAAACATAGTAATAAAGTGAAGAGAGTAAAAAACCATAGGATCGAAATTAAAATTTCTCAGAAATATACTACCATGGTCCCCTTTGGTTAATCAAAATTCGAGGCTCGGGAATTTCAAGCTCCTTTGATTTATAAAAGTTAAACAGGAATACCAAAATTCCTAGGATTTGTAAGTGGAAAGTAACATCCCATGCAACATGATTTCTCATAAGAATTAACTTCCCATATAAACCAAACAAGAAATTAATGAGTCGGAAGTATTAGAATATTAGAAAGTTTCCAATAAAAGGGAATTAAGTGTGTCATTAAAAAAACAGAGGTTTTTAGGAATATGCATCACTTATAAAACATTGAGAGAGTAATAAATAAAGATATTAGAAATTAATATTTGGATGATATTCTCTACATTTTTTTGTTTGTTCTATTTAAAAATTTTGCGATAAAAAATACAAAGGAAAAAACTAAACCTAATAAACAAGATTTCAAATGATTTCATTTTTCCTCACAAAATATCACAAATATAAAGAAATTAGTTCCTTGCCAGCATGCTCAGATGTGTATTTACAAGGAAAATATATTATGTTTATAAATTAGTGTAAGTTTAATTTGTATTTACTAATTTTTTTTCTATCATGTTATTTTTTAAGTAAAAAAATATTGGTCGGAAAATTTTGGTTGTGGATGCACCACGTATACATTTGGGATAATTTTATTGATTAAGAATTTAGTTTAAATTATAGGGATAGTTTTCAAATGACTACAATAAAATTGTAGCCATTATACTAGATTAAACCTCAACCATTTATTAGATTTTGACTAATTTAAACCTTTTATTGGGATGACTTTGTGGTTTTAAAAAATAATTTGATAAAAAAAAAATGAAAAAACTACTATACACGTTCATTCAGTTTCTATCCTTCAATTACTCTGTACTTTGCTTTGCTCCATCATTTCATTTATTTGCAATTACTGTTTTATGAAAATAGATCACAAATCCTCACACATGCTTAATCGGAAGATGGAATTTGGGTGATTTATTTTAAAGGTAGGATGATGATGAATGTTAAATTTGGGTGAGGAAAAATCCAATTTCCCTTTTTTAATTCTTAATTAGCTAATCAATTTGTATGCTTATATGGCTCTATGCATATTTGATGGAGATGTGAAGTAGATGTCTCTTAGTTTAGAGGTAGAGAAATCATTTGTGGCTTATACCGGTAAAATTTGAAGGGTCAAGGTTGAAAACAGTTTCAATGGTTACAATTTTATTGTAGCCACTGGAAGTCATCCTAAATTATAAATAATATATTGTGTAAATTATATAGCACCATGTCAACTTAAGATGGATAAATCATGACAAAAATGTTTTATTTCCTTGCATTGCTTTAGGTTTTAGTGGATAGTAAAGATGAGAAAGAGAAAACTAAAGAGATATCCATATTTTTATCTGATAACGATGACCAAATCAAAAGTAGTTAGAGTAGAATTTTCTCTTAATTATCATTTGTGAACATTCAGTAATATCTATCTCGTTTAACAGCTTGTATGTATATCTTCTTAGTTTGTTATTATCTTTTGTAAACTTAGATTACAGTACTTCTTAGGTGTATAAATACATGTTAAACCTAATGAGAATATCATCAACTTCTCACATACTCTATTATCTTATATTATCTATTATCAATAATAATGCTATAACTGAAAGGTAAAAAAGGAAAATGAATAGATCGTCGACTCACCTGTGCATAATGGAGCAAGGTGCAAGATATTGAGCTTTTGATGATCCGTAAGAAGTTGAGTCCAACCTTTGTTATCGATTATCTTCAATATCTCTTTGGCAACTGTATGACATTGAAATGCGACAGCCAAGAATAGAACATTCTTCTTACTTTCGATAACTACATTTTCATCCACTGACAAAAAAATATATTGCGAGATTTTCATTCTTATGGGCTATGGCCAATGACAAAGGTGTATCTCCTTTAATGTTGTCCTTCACTAACCAAGGATGTTGATTATTTGAAAGGCTTGGTGATTCTTTTTTGTAAATATCTATTAGCAATTCTGCAATTTTTGTAGCATCTTCTGTACACGGGGCATTTCTAGCCAAGTCGTGTAATGGATTGCCACCATAATTATTCGTTGAAGATACCAAGTATGTGAAAATCTTATTTACATCTTGGATGATATCCTTACAATCTAAGAGAATTTTGAATGGCCAAATTTTACCATATGCCCACAAATTAAATGCCGAAAATCCATGCTTATTTTTTTGTTTAATTAGCTCTGGCTCTCTCTGAAGTAGTCCTCGAAAGATTTATTCTGATTCTTCTGTAATTAAAAAAAAAAGAAAGGTTTTCAAAGATTATAATTATGCACATGTGTGTATATTTGTGTGTTAATATATATATATACATATACTGATATACATATATTCGTATATGTTAACTTTCACTAAATTATACGGAATACTTTATAAAGAAAAAGGTAATCACGTAATAAGATTTTATTTGATTCATATTGATGTTAGACGTACCTAAACTCCTCCTTGTATCTTATTTCTTAAAAATTAAAAAAAAAAAAAAATTAATGTTGTACGAAGTACAATATTATTTTAACACAACTTTCTCATTAAGGTGTTTGTTCCATTTTGACTTACCATGTGTTTTGAAGGTTCAATGGGCACTCAAGAGGGGGGGGGTGAATTGAGTGTTAAGTAATCGTTGGCTAATTTTGCTTCTTTTCGGATTATGTGTGAGGAACCAGTTGTGCTGGTTCCCGTACGCAGCGGAATATAAATAAGCAATAAAGAAGACAACAAATTTAACGAAATAAAACAAAGCAATAAAGAACACAACAAATTTAACGAGGTTCAGCCAACTCAGGCCTACGTCCTCCTATCCTAAGTTCTTTATTAATCTACTCCGAAAAACAAAGACAAAGAACACTCTGCTGTTCCCTACTCCGGGAACCAGCAAACCCCACACTCTACTCCGAGTGTGCTCTCGACTTACACTCGTAAGCCCAATGTGTTTGAACTCACAAACACTCACCCAGCCTTTAACCCCTTTGTTAAAGACTCAATACAAGAATCAAGAACTCCCCTTTGATCTCACTTCTACGAAGCTAATTAAGAGAAAAAGTTTAAGTACTAGAATGCTCTTGTATATGACTTGATGAATGGGATTAGTGCTTAAGTATATACTCTCAAATAATTGCTCTTTTAATTTCTGGAGAGGCACACGAAATATGTGAAATAAGATGAGTTTATATAAGCTTAGATTCCTAAAACCTAGTTTCCTTAAATCACACAATCTTAGAGAATAAGATATAATGTAATTTTAGGAAAGTTTTTATCTTATTTGATTTAATCACAAAGATAGAATCAATTAAGATAAATACTCCTAGTTTTTAGGTAACCAAGAATATTTCATCTTATTTCCAGCTGCACAAAATATTTTCAAAATAATCTTTTCGAAAAAATCTTTTTGTAAAATCTTTTTCCAAAACGGCAGCTCGAATACAGTGAACCTGGTTCCCCGACCTGGTTCCCTGAATTGAAACATGTTATGAAACCTGTTCCAACTTTGTACCAGATTTCATATCATACTTCAATATACTTTTAAGCACTTATATAACCCAAACATGCAAGCATACTACGGAGCATATTACATGAAAACCTAGATAACATATTAAAGCATAAATCGTCTTTTCTTCATGTAATCTTCAAGACTTGAATCTTCCTTGAATACTTCTATTATGAGCAAACAATCTTTCTTCGAAATATCTTCGAAAGGCTTCTATGCTCCAAGTCTTGGAATCAACTCAACTACTGCACATGTAACATGGTTAATGCACAACATAAAGTAAGTGACTGCTGAACCACGTAGCAACCATGGAAACAGTACATACTGGTTCCCTACCAGTACATAACACTTTTATCATATAACCGTTCCCTGTATAAAGACAAGTTAGTTCAATAAGAAAACTCATGTAAGTAATAACTTGTCTGGGGAAACAGTGTTCTATGTTAGCTGGTTCCCCCAACTGTATCGAACACTTTCAAGGACCTGTTTCCCTTAGCTGTTTGTCATCATTCAAAACTATCAATCAAAACCTAAGGGACTCAACAAATTCCCCCTTTTTGATGATGACAAACTCTTGAAGTTCCTGAACTTGTGAACATGCTCAAAAGGAAAACCGTCAAAAACTTCAAGGACTCAAGACTCTTTGGAACAAGTCAGTTAGGCCAACTGGTTCCCTAAACAGAAAATAGAAAATACGAAATTAGAAAATACGAAATAAAAAGACTCAAACTGACTCAATCTAAACTAGCTAAACCTTAGGCTTCAACTTCAGACTACTTCCCCCTTTTGGCATCATTAAAAAGTATCCACAAGTAAAAGCAATGTGCACAAGTTAATGTGCTTATCCATACAATGGCATCAACCACCATTCAAGCATTATGCTGCAAAAAGAGATTAGTCAAACAGTTCATACCATAGCAGAGTTAGTAGTTCATACAAGCCAACAAAGTTCAACCAAAGAAGCCCAAATCCATCCAAAAAGAAAGTTCATGGAATGGAGAGAAGTAGACAGACCAACAAAATCAGTTATTTTAGAATAAACATGAGGGTGAGGAAACAAGAACAGAAACAGCATCACTCCTCATCATCATTCTCGTTCCCTTCCTCCTCCTCGAACTTTGCAACATCTTCTGTATTATCATCTGATTCCTCTTCATCCTTGTCACCATGCTCTGCTTAAACCAAAATCATTATATTACTAAGCATATTCTTGTGATTCCCCAATCTGTTTCAAAACCACTTCCTGACCTGCTGGTTCCTCTATTTTTTTTTTTTTTTTTTTTTTTTTTTTTTTTTTTTTTTTAAAGAAAGCATGAGAGATATGTACTGATTCAGAATGTTCTCCTTGTTGCATAACGAGTGCAAAACTGTTCTCCTTGTTGCATAACGAGTGCAAAACTAGCATCACATCAATCAAGCAAAGAGGTTCTTGCTGGTACCCTTTTTCTCTTGGTTCCTGGAACAGCGTCAATGGACTGTTCCTCCTGCACCTTCTCAGTGAACTTCTTTAATTGAGTTACTCTACTTCGTACCATGGTCTTAGCAGTGGGTGTCTCCTCATAATAACCAACAACCTCTATTTCATCCTTTTCACTCTGACTTTTCTGAATTTCCTCCAACTTCGGGCTTAAGGACATTTATGCTTCCTTCTGATGTTCCCCCTGAGACTGAGCTGGTTCCTTGAGTGAACAGTAACCGAATGAACAATGATGAATTTAAAGCATACGAGAGAGAGAAAGAGAATTTCGAGTGATGATGATTGATGATCTGCACAAAGGGTTAGTGTATATTTTTAACAATGAAGCACAAAGAGAGAAGAAGGAAAGAAAAGAGTTAGTTGAGCCAATAAAAAGCAACTGTAAAGGATATTTTTAAATTGAAATCAAAAATTTGGTAATTATCTTTTACCATAATTATCTCAACCAACTATAAATAAGGCATATGATATGTTTGCCTTTTATATGGGATTAAATAACTGAAATAAGATAAATTCCTTCCAAAAGGAAATATCTTATAGTAATCTTCCGAAAATAAAAGATATTATCGGATGACATATCAGAGCTGGTATGCTGTTTCCCTTTGCTGGTACCTGTATAGAACCATGTCACGCTGTTTCTGGCAATTCAGCCTGATTTCACCTGTTTCTTACAACAATGATTCTCAATCCTTTTGAGATTTTGAACCATCTACACAACACTTGAAAGATATCAACATAAGTATGTACACACACTATACAAGAGAATACCATTCTAACCAATCATTGAAGGAAGTAATTGAAGCCAATACCTAAAGTCTAACTAGACCTAAAAGGACTCTTAACCTACAAAAAGACTCTCTACACAAAGGCTTTGTGAAGATGTCAGCAATTTGATCTTCACTTTTACAAAACAACATCTCCACCAATCCTTTTTCCACATTGTCTCTTAAAAAATGGTGTCTTATTTCAATGTGTTTTGTCTTGGAGTGTTGCACAGGATTCTTTGAAATATTGATTGCACTAGTGTTATCACAAAAAATAGGAACACTTTTATAAATAACACCAAAATCTTTCAGCTGGTTCCTTATCCACAGTAGCTGGGAACAGCATGAAGCTGCAGCTATATATTCAGACTCTGCTGTGGATAGGGCCACTGAATTTTGCTTTTTAGAACCCCATGAAATTAGACAAGAGCCAAGAAAGTGTGCCATACCTGATGTGCTCTTTCTATCAACTAAGAAACCAGCATAATCTGCATCTGTGTATCCAATAAGATCAATGGTACTGCCTTTGGGGTACCACAATCCCAGATTTGCTGTTCCTACAAGATACCTAAGTATCCTTCTAACAGCCTTCAAGTGAGATTCCTTTGGATTGCTTTGAAACCTAGCACACAAACCAACAGAAAACACAATGTCAGGTCTACTAGCTGTTAGGTAAAGTAGAGAACCAATCATTCCTCTATAAAGCGAAGCTTCAACATCTTTTCCCTTAAGATCAGCATCTAATTTTGTAGATGGGGGAACAGGTGTATCATAAGCTTTGCTGTTCTCCATGCCGAATTTTTTCAGCAACTCTTTTAAGTACTTTTGTTGATGGATCATTATTCCATCATCCATTTGCTTAATCTGCAGCCCTAGGAAGAATCCTAGTTCTCCCATCATGCTCATTTCAAATTCACTCTGCATAAGATTAGCAAATTCATCACATAAAACCTGATTAGTAGCACCAAATAAAATATCATCAACATAAATTTGTACTACAATCAAGTGTTTCCCCCTGGTTCTTATGAACAAGGTCTTGTCTACTGTTCCCCTCTTGTAATCATTTGCCATCAAGAAATTGGACAATCTTTCATACCAAGCCCTCGGAGCTTGTTTCAATCCATATAATGCTTTGTCCAACTTGTACACATGTTGGGGGAACAGTGCATCTTCAAAACCAGGTGGCTGCTCCACATATACTTCTTCCTTTAAATATCCATTGAGGAAGGCAGTCTTTACATCCATCTGAAACAGCTTAAAATTCATGTGAGCAGCATAAGCAATTAAAATCCTAATAGCCTCTAGCCTAGCTACTGGTGCAAACGTCTCATCATAGTCAATTCCTTCTTGTTGATTGTACCCTTGCACCACTAGCCTTGCTTTGTTTCTGACTATAGTACCAAGGTCATCTAACTTGTTTCTAAAGACCCATCTAGTGCCAATGACTGATCTTTCCTTGGGACGGGGAACCAGGTGCCAAACCTGGTTCCTCTGAAACTGATTTAACTCA